CAGTTTTTCATATGTAAAATAAGTTGGAGAAGGAAATGACAAACTACTTCAGTATCTTTCCCAAGAAAATCCCAAATGTTGGCACAAAGAGTCAAACACAACTGAAACGACTGAACAACAATCCCTCAACTCCCCCAATATTACTTAACAGCACACTAAGAAGTGGTCAGAGCCCACCCCCTTCCATTTATTACCAATAAATTTCATATTCTCCTCTGGTTTCTTTAAGGACATCTAAGTTGTTCTGTACATTTCAGCATGTGATTATATACAGAATTACAAAATGTTAAGAGCAGGAAGGGACCTCAGAAGCCATCTCACCCACCCAGGACCAGAAGGGAACCTAAACTATAAACAAATACCCATCCAATCTGGGTTTGAAGATTTACAGGGAAAGTCAACCCATTTCCTCCCATTTTTGGAAAACTAATTGCTAGGAAAACCTAAATCTGACTTTGTACAACTTCCTTTCACTACTCTTACTTCTGTCCTTGGAGGACAAGTGTCCCAAGGCTTAATTATCCCTCTTCTGCATGACAACTCTCCAAGTACATTTAGACAGAGGTCCAGTCCTCTCTTGGTTGCTTCTCCTAATTCTTCCAAGTGTTTCTCCACGATGGCCGCCAGTGCCCTCACTATCCCAGTTGCCTTTCTCTGGATGAGTTCCAGTTTGTACTTAGTGTCACCTGGCACTGTTTGTTAGATATGCTATTCTTGTCTCTCTCCTTAGATGATGAACTCCTTGAGGGTGGGGATTATGTGTTGTACTTCTCCATAACCCACATGGTGCCTTGCATGGTGCTGAGCACATGGTTGGCATTTAGTAAATACACTTTGAGTGAATGATTGATTGATAGGCTCAGCCCAAATCCCTGTCAGGAGCATTACTTCATAGATGATATCCCTGAAGTTTTCCAAAAGGTAATTGCTTCTGGACTCAAAAGGGTGCTTCATGGCCTAAATGTTCACATATTGTGTGCAAACTACCCCTTTGTGTAATGACATAACTCACAGTAATACTAATAAAGAGCTATTTGTCAGGAAGAGGTATTTGGCCCCAAGAAGTCCACATAGGCAACCTTTTCAAAGAGGGTACAAATTCCTTTCCACCACTTAAGCGTTCAAATGGAAGAATGATCCTGACAAGCAGTAATGGCTTGTAAGGATGCAGGATCATCTGCAAATAAACAGAGGCTTAAAAAGTTAGTGTCTTCCCTACAGGGAGTTGGAGATAGCCATGCTTTATATCTTTGTGCCAAAGCCATTTGACACACTCGACAAGAATCAACTGGCAAGAGAAACCCCCATTTGCCTTCATGTTGTAAACATATCACACAGCACCTTAAATAGTGCTCCATGGAAGCGTTTCTCTTCCAGTTCTGGTTTCCCCTTTTAAAAATGACTTGCTATTGGAAATGTTTACTTGTACTTAAGAACTCTGATCAATGCAACGACCAGCCACCATTCCAGAGAACTGGTAATGAAGCATACTACCAGATGGAGATGTGATGGATTCAAGTTGCAGAATGAAATGTACATTTCTGGGTACAGTCAATGTGATGACTAATTTTGATTGACTGTGCACATTTGTTACAGAGGTTTTGTTTTTCTTTCTTTGCAAATGAATGTATGTGGGGGGCAAAGGGAGGAGGAAGAGGGGACCTAGAGATAGGGTTGCCCTCCAAAACAAGAAAGAAAATGAAAAGAAAAGCCGGGAGTCATTAAAACATGTTTTTGAAATGCATAAAAGATAAAAGAAGGAATCATCTAACAAGCAGGGCAGCTTTGAAAGTAATATTGAATTGATTATATACTTAAAAAGAAAAGCAAGATTGGCATAATGGATTCATTGTTTCATGTAAAAGACAGTCTCTCAGTTCTACTCTACATATTGAATTAGTCATTTCAGCTGAAGTTCAAGTTTAGAATTAAAAAAATTAAGTTTACTCAGCAGATAAGTGAAAAGTATATGAATAGGAGTATGGTCAGGCTTTATAAATTACTGGTCTTAAAGAAAAGGTCATGGACTCTACCAACATAAATGGAAAGTTGGTTGTCTTGAAAGAAATGATACTGTCTGTGCCAAGTTTCCATTCAAATCACTTTGGGACACTTCTACAATCTGTAAAACTTCACTTCTAGCTAGTTTTGACAAATGCAGAAATCAATTTTAAAATACAGAATGTTTTGCTTGGAAGGTGAAGAATAAAGATTAGAATTCAGAACCGTTACCCCCATTTTCAAGTCTGTGCTATGCCACAGGGTATCCTTTAGGGTCCTGTGATCTTTAATGCCCATATCCCCTGGCCTCTGACGCAGGCTTCCCTATCTAAAATCATGTTTTAGGGATACAATTGTTGCTGACCTTGTGACACAGAGTGATCATTACCAATCTTCAGTGGTTTCTGTGTCCAATACCCCAAATCACTTCTAGCCCAGGACAAAACGCAATTAAACACAATGCATGAGAAAACAAACAGAAACAGAGGTGACTGGGATCATCAGATATCTCTGCCATAAAGACATCTCACCTATATCCAGAAGCTATTGGTTCTATAGCAGCAGGAAGAAGAATTAGGCTTTTTTTGGCAAACTGACCCTGTTTCTCTGGGCACTCAGGAAGAGAAGCTGATGCTGACTTCAAGGGCATTGCTTAGCACTGCTGCCTCGTCACACCACTTTTCAGGATTTTTTTCTGATTTGGCCCCAGAATCAAACCCACTATACTATACATATCCTTTCCTTTTCTCAGCAGTATGCTACTAATAAAAACCTAGGTCTAGGGATAAATGTGTAGACACGTAAACTCTTCTTATGCATAGTGCTATATAAAATGTCTAAAAAGAAAACAAAACCCAGATTAATATGATAGTAAGTCATAGATTGGAAAACTGGGAAGGATCTTGGAGGTCATTTAACAAACCCTCTTATTTTATAGATGAAGAAAAATGAAAGTGAGTTGCCCAAGGTAACTCAGCTATTCCTGGGCAGAGGTGAGACATGAGTCCATCCAGGTCTTCTGAGCCCCATTCCAGTGCCCTTACCCCCTCTTCTCACTTATACTTAGAGCCTCCCGAAGAGACACAGAGGCTGCAGTCACCTGGTTTTGTGTAGTGCTAATCACCTGGTGGTGCATACATGTCAATGTCATTATTATCTATTATGGAATCTAATCAGATGCATAGTAGTTGGCATTTGTGCCATTTGAACTGGCCCCATGGCTTTCCTCCAAACAGCATAGGAAATACCCTCTTGCCTTTTTACCCACTTTATGTGGGGTAAGTAGAAAAGAAGTCCATCACCACGGTATTTTAGTTTAATTCAGCAAATATTTGGAGAGTACCTTCTAAATACAAGATCAATCAATCAAAAAGCATCTATTAAGTATTTGCTACTTGTTAGGCATTGTGCTAAAAGTGCTGAGGATGCAAAGAAAGGTAAATATAGTGCCTGCCCTCAAGGAGCTCACAGTCTAATGGAGGAGGAAAAAAAGTAAATACAAAACATATCCAGAGTAGATACAAGGTAATAGAGGATAGAACTAGCCATTGTGGAGACTAGGCAAGGACTCCTGCAGAAGATCAGTTTTATCTGAGACTTGAAGGAAAGTAGAGAAATTAAGAGGCAGAAGGGAGGATGGAGAGAATTCCAGGGACAAGAGATAGCTGATGCAAAGCACAGAGATGGAAGATGGAATGTCGTGTGTGAGGAGGCCAGCATGGCTGGACAGGAAAGAACATGGAGGAGAGCAAAGTGTAACAAACAGGTGGTGAAGAGCTTTAAATAGCAAAGAAGAATAGCTGGCATTTATATAGTGCTTTAAATTTTGCAAAGCACTTTACAAATATCTCCTTTAATCTTCAAAACAACCTTGTGAAGTAGGTACTGTTATTATCACCATTTTACAGATGAGGAAACTGAGGAAGAAGAGGTTAAGTGACTTGTCCATGATCACAAATCTAGGAATTATCAGAGTCCTTATTTGAACTCATGCCTTCCTGACTCCAGGTCTGGTGCTCTATCCATTGTATCACTTAGCTGCCCTTAAAGTGAAACAGAGGACTTAATATTCAATTCTAGAGATAATATGGAACCACTGGGGCATTGAAGAGTAAGATAATCAGCTCTTTCCTTCAAAAAAATCACATGGCCACTGAGTGGAGGGTGTATTGGAGTGGGGAGAGACTTGAGGGAGGGAAATAAGTTAGAAGCTTATTGCATTAGTCCAGGCAAGAGGGGATGAGGGCCTGAACTAGGATGGGATTATGTTAGAGAAGAATATCTATGCATCTACCTATCTATCTGTGTATCTATCTATCTATCTATCTATCTATCTATCTATCTGTGTATCTGTCTATCTATCTATATCTATCCATCTCTCTATTTCTCCATAGGCTGAGAATGAGGAGTTGAGGATGACAATGAGGTGTTAAGCCAGGGTAATTAGGAACATAGTAGTACCTTTGACAAGTAATAGTGACTGGGATGATACCAATTACATGCATTGTTTCAGAGTCATTTTGATAGTCATGTAAAATTTCTGTGTGACTTGGATATTTTACTGTGGACTGCATAAAAAGGTTGATATAATAATATCTAAAATCTTAATAACAACAAATTAGAACATTCACGGGGCAAACTATTTTTCTTGTTCCTGAATGGTGATTTCACAATAATGAGTTCACAGAAGTCACTACTATGTCTGACAGCATGTTAATGTTGAAAAAAAGTTTATTTTAACTTTCAAATTTCAAAGTACCTGGAAAGGTAGACTATGTGTTTGATGCTTTGTATTAGTACTTTTCAATAAATACCAGAGCCCCAAGTCTTTAGTTCGGAGCATTTTTTAAAATGCTTTTTACCCCAAATATGCTTCGAAATTTTTTTTTGGTAGGAAAGACCAAACAGCATTTGAGGTATTTGTTTTCCTTTTTTTTTTTAAGCACTAAGATTATACAAGCTTTTTGACCGATGATGCTGGGAACAGCATCCATACATACCAGCGAATCAAATTGCTCTCGAGGGCAAGCGAACAGACGTCCATTAACAGTGAGTGTTGTAAATACTGAAACATCATTAGGTTTGAGCACCACCTTTTCTGTGAACATAAAAGCATAAGACTGCCCATTAAATGCATCTGAAATTCACTGCACTGCCCTAATCACACCAACAAATTGTCATCCATGTGAATTACCTGAATGTGGGTAGTGACTGTGAAACACATTACTAAAGGACCTACTGAATTAAAAAGACGTGGCATACTGAGGCCCTCAGTGATAGAAAAACAAAACAAAACACCAGAAATAACCACAAAACAAGAATCAAAATACCAAAGGGCCAATTTATTCAATTCCAAGCTGTTATTGTAATCATATCGATAGACTACATTTGCCATCTATCAAGTTTGCTGTTTCTACTTTACAATAATGCAGAGTAATTGGAGAGGAGGTGAAGACTTTATAAAACTTAGATGGCTTCTGTTTTAACATTGGACTTTGATTATGTAGTATTTACATTTTTTAAAGACTTTCAGTGCAGTTGATTCATATTATTTCCTTTATTTATATATTTTAAAAATACTTTGATATTTAGATGGATCTGTGATCTATCTGGTCTTGTTTAGTTTTGTTTGTTTATTTCTTTTTGTCTTTTGTTTTAGTTAATTTATGGATTATTTAATTTATTTTTCTGAGATCAGGCAATTTAAACTATTTCTTATTTTGTTAATCTGGGCAATTTATATTTTTATGAATTATATATATATATATTTCATTTAAGTCATCAGCTTTTTTGGTATAGAGTTGTTCAAAATAGTTTCTTATAATTTACCTTATTTCTTCTTCACAATAACATTCTTTCCATACTAGGGATTCTTAACTTGGGGAGCTTGAAGATAACTGGATTTCAGTATAATTGGTTTCCTTTGAAATCCTACCCATTTTATTTTATGCATCTAAAAACATAATTCTGAGAACAGTTCCATTTTGTAGTCTGTTTCACCAGAAGTCCATAATACAAAAGGTCTTTAATAAATTCTTATTGAATTAAAATCAATTGCAGAATTCTCTAAGGACCCACAGATAGTAAAGCCAAGATTTGAATCCAGGACTGGTCCATATCTAAATGCAGTACCTTCTCAAGTTACTGTATCTTCCTCAATCTGAGTTTCATTATTTATGAAATGGAAATAATCACAATAGTTCTCTTTCTTCAGAGTTGTTGTAAGGCTCAAATGCGATCACTGATGTGAAGGCACTAGTATACAAACATAATATTATTGTTGAGGATAATGACAAAAAAATATATTATTAGAGTGAGGGCTCACCTAATCCACCTAAATTACTGTGGAAGGACTCTACCAAATCCTGACCCCAGTGTTTCTGTTCAGCTGGGGTTTTCCATTTTGCAGATAAGCATAACACCTGGATTAAGTCTTTACCTCCTCCAGAGCTCATCTTGACTATCATCAGTCCTTCTCCAGAACCCAGTTTGTCCGCTACAGCACTAAGAACTTCTTTCACGGAAGCTGACACAGGCACTCGAATAGTGGTGTAAGTGTGGTCTAGGCAGTAGACTTTAAACAGAACTATGAGAAAGAGAGAAATTTTACTACAGCATATTAGTCTAGCACATACTTTTAAAAAATAGCAAGTTTTAGACATATTTTCTTCATCCTGAATTTTTTATTTTACTATTTTAGCCTACTGTTCTCCATGCTAATGTTCCCATGGATCCACATTTTTACTTATCCAGAAAGGACTGAGCTAAATATACAAAATGGCATAAGCTGCTATTTATAACAAATATATTCATGACTTCCTTCCTCCCCCTGCCCCTCAATTCAGATGCCTGTGAAAACCACAAGAGCAAATGGGAACAAGAATACTAATTATTTTCTAGGTCCATAATCTGGGCCTACCTGAAGACTATGACACTTTCATGACTGTTGTAAAACCTGCAGCAGACAGAGCAAGGTACCATACTATAAACACATAATGATAGTGATTACCAGGTCCTCTTGTGATGGGTATTCCAAATTGGTACTCGGTTTCAGGCCCAGGGGTAGCACCCTTCAGCAACATGATGCCCCATTCTGTTCCCCTGCCTCGAGAAAGAGTTCTGTGACCTATTTTTCTAAGAATGTTTGGGGTTTGAAATTTCTCATTCACCTGGTTCCTTTACATGTATACTTTGGTTTAATGCCATCTATTTTAAGAAGGACACCTCACTTTCAATCTGGAGCAGCAGGGAGTTGTGATGTGCCATTCGTTATCACTCCTGAGTTACCGTCATAGAAGCAGTTTCAGCTGCCATGTCTGCTGGGCTCAAGCCTCCCCCTCTCCCCCAGTCCTGTGATGTATCAATGGTTTGAAATGGAAAATGTAAGCCTTTTCCTCCCTTCCCCCATGATGCTTTTGGTGACTCTTTGAGGGTAGATGTCTGAGTGGGAAGCAGTTTGATATCTCCGAGGTCACTGAATGGGTTCTACCCAAAGTGTTTGAAGCAGCTCCATTCTCCTTGGCATCTGCAAAGCACCTATGACACAAAATACACTACCCTCCTAGAGGAGGCATCTGATGACAGACACCCTGCCATCTCACCCATGTTCATATAGGTGTGGGACAGAACCAAGGGATTATGCTTGTCTCTAGCATGTTATGATAACAACCTCACTCCAACCAAAAGATAAGCAGCACAAATAACTCAGCTGCACAGATTGAGGAGGGCCCCTAACAGTAGCTAGTATTTATGTAGCATTTTAAGTTTTGTAAAGAACTTTATATATATTATCTCATTTGATACTCATAACAACCCTGGAAAGGTGGTACTATTATTACCCCCATTTTACAGATGAAACTGAGGCACAGGGAGGTTAAGAATTTTACCCAGGACTACAGAGCTAATAAATAAACCCTGAGGCAGGGTTTGAACTCAAACTTCCTTGATTCCAAGCCCAGCTCTTTATGCAGTGTTCCACCTAGCTACCAAAGATGACCAACTCTGATCAGAGAAGGACCGAGATGGTTATTGTGGGAGGGAAGATTTTATCTGATTTGCAATGTTGTCATCGTCCAGTTGTTTTTCAGTTGTGTCTGACTCTTTGTGATCCCGTTTGGAGTTTCCTTGGCAAAGATACTGGAGTGGTTTACCATTTTCTTCTCCGGATTATTTTATGGACAAGGAAACTGAGGCACACAGGGTTAAGTGACTTGCCAGGGGTCACACAGTTAGTAAGTGTCTGAGGCTGTATTTGAACTCAGAAAGATGAGTCTTTCTGACTCCAGGCCTGGCACTCTATCCACTGAGCCACCTAGCTGACCATCAATAAGCCATACAAAATGGATAGTGCTTACTTTCATCAGATCCCCGGACAGGTTGGCGTTTCTGTGCTCTGTCTTCAACAGGGTTGAATTGTTGCAAAAGAACTTTGTGCTGGTAAAAAAAAAAAAAAAAAACAAACAATGGCATTAAATGCTATAGAGGAGAATAGCCACCTTGTCTTGAAACATCAGTAAAAGTATACCTGGGCATCAATCAGGTACAGAAAAATAAGTGAGTCAAAAATATTTTGCTACTTAAAAATATTCATTATGTTTTTAAATGGTGTATTTAAATGTTCTGGAGGATAGTAGTCTTACTGTGCACAAAGCAACATATTCCAATTAAAGGCCTCTTACCCACCTTCTTTTGTGGAGCTTTGCCGTCTTCTGAGCTAAAATGTAGAAGTAGAGAGACCCATTATTCGATATCTTTGGTAAACACTATTTTTATTTCTTTGTTCTTACATAGCGTCAGTCTTCCCTTACACAGTGCAATGAGACAACATTCTCACAAGAAGAGAGGATCATCCTCATCTCAGGCTAAGAACAGTAGGGCATGGGAGGTGATAAAGGGATCAGTTAAGATGGAGGCAGAAATGACATTAACAACCAGGATCCCCGACTTCATTAGCTCACGCTCCTCCCAGTACTTAAAATGTGGCTCAAGCTTCATCTTCCAATCCTCCATTTTATATGATGAAAATACTAGTACTAAACAGGATCGGACTGGAGGGAAGTTTCATGTAATTAAATATTCATCTACACCATTTGGGGCAGCTGCATGGTGCAGTGGATAGAGTGCTAGGCCTGGAGTCAAGAAGACCTGAGTTCAAATCCAGCCTTAGACACTTACTAGCTGTATGATCCTAGACAAATCACTTAATCCCTGTTTGCCTCATTTTCCTTATCTCTAAAATGGGGATAATAACAGCAACCACCTTTCAGGGTTGTTATTAGGAACGAATGAGATAATTGTAAAATTTTAGCATATTACCTGGCACTTAGTATACTATGTAAATTGTTAGCTATTTTCATTATTATTATTATTACTATTATTATTTAAATAAATATCTGGCCGTTATCCATTTTGATTCTGAAATTTAAGGCTTAAAATCAGAGGGGCCCCATTTTATTCATATAAATCTAGGAGAAAAGGAAGCAATTTATATTGCTACCTCAATATTTAGACTTGGTAATAATAGCTAGCATTTATAAAGCCCTTTATGCTTTGCAAAGCACTTTACAGATATTATCTCCTTTGATCCTCATAACAACCCTAAGAGGTTGGTGCTATTATTATCCCCATTTTACAGATGAGGAAACGGAGGCAGACAGAGGTTAAGTGACTTGCCCAAGATCTCACAGCTAGTAAGTGTTTGAGGTTGGATTTGAACTCATGTCCTTCTGATTCTAGGCCCAGCATTCTATCCACTGTACCTCCTAGCTGTACTCCAACATGGAATGTAGCTTAGTATGTTCTCATCTCTTTTTTTGTCTTCTATGTCATGACTGCCTATCCCAATGGACTCAGGTCCCTCAATTCTAGAATGTTTCTCAATTGTTTTGAAACTTTAATATATAAAGGCTTGTCGGAAGGGCATAGGAGATTATGATGACAGTTAGTGCCCTTATTTAGTGCACTATCTAAACAAAGAAAGCCAAGACTCTTCCTTACATTTGCTTGACCGTCTTTTCTAACTCTGGAAGCTGCTCCTTGAGGGTCGCAATCATCCGGCTGTCATCTGACACAGATACGTAAAACTCCTGAAATTAGTGGAGAACATATTGTTTAGCCACAATAGTCATAGATACATTATTCTGCAAAGGTTAAGAAGGAGATTCCATAATTTAGTTTCACTGGCTAGTCACTAGGCCTTTATTTAATGAACTGAACAAAGGAAAAACTATTCCATCATATGTGTCACTTTCCTGCGGGGTTTTTCCACACTCCTATGGAGGGCTGTTTTTATGATAGTCTTCATTTTAAGATCACTTTGCTGATTAATTGCATAAAACATTTTTTCTTGAAAAAAAATTGGAGACTTTTCATATGTTACATTGACTGTTGTTACTAAAAATGAATAATGTTATTAAAAAAGAGTTTAGCGTAACCACTGGGCTTAGCCAGAAGGAATTTTTAAGAAATCATCTTGTTCTTCTGGCCCCTGACTTCAGGGTGGGTAAGGTATTACCATTATAAGATGCTCAATTGAACAATGGAGGAGAGTTGTTATTAAGAGAGGTAAATGGGGGACAGGAGGCATAATGGGGAGTTAGGGTCATGGATTGGAAGAGAGGAATTCTCTCCAAACTGGATGGTCTTTAGCTCAAACGCTATATCTAGTCATAGCTCTACGTCTGTGACTCTTCAGGACCACCTCACTCCTCCACTCTCACCTCCATCACCAAAAGAAGCAATAGGCTACCTAATTTTAATAACATCTTTTAAATTCCTTGCCTCATCTTCTTTGAAATGGGAATATCACTCTAAAATTTGTAAAATGGGCTCCTTGTTCATTGTGTCTTGCTTCTAGAATAAGTCCCTTTATATCCATGCTGCCGAGAAAGGGGACAGTAAGAGAAGAAACCATTCTAGCATACCTCTAAGAAGGCCATTGCTACTTCATCCTCTTGGAGTAAGTCTCCATACAAAGCAGCCCACTGGAGGACCAGGCGGATGACTCGCCTCTTGCTGTTGAGGGCATAATCCATTTTGTCCTGTTCTGTACCCTGGGAAGGCTGTGCGTGGTAAGTGCCAAGGGGTCAAGGACAACATTCAGCAATTTGAAACCTACTCTTCAGGGAAGTATTTGTGAAGTGTCAGAATTAAATCACATTATACCAGGCTGTTATGTGACCTGCCATACATGCTGTATCTCTACCTAAGGTCTCTCTTCCTCTCCAACCAAACCAATCTTCCAAAAGTCTTCAAACATGTCAATCATTGGTGCTAGAAATAACAAAAAGCCCCTCTACTTCCCACAGCTTAAATGTAAAATTCCTTATCCTAGTCTTCAAATCCCTCTGTAATCTTGCCCATACAATCTTTCCAGATTTATCTTCTATAACTCTACTAGACAAATCAATCTGCTTCAACCAAAGCTCCCTAGGTGTCCAAACACCATCCCTTTGCACTTTCTTCCATTCTTTTTCTCACACTGGAATGCCCTCTTCTTCCTCCCCGCCTATTGCAATTCTACCCATCCAATTCAAACCTCACCTCTTGACATAAAGCCTTTCCTCCCCATCCTAGTTCAAAGTCCTCTTTCTTCTCTGAAGTACTTTTGCATGTATCATTTATCAATTTATTATGTACTGCAGGGATCAGTTGAAATAGGAAGAGAAACTTTTCAGAAGCTTTGTGTCTGAGTATACATCTGCTGGGGGGTGGGGGAGGTAGTAGGAGAAGCTAATAATAGGATGCCTGAGTATTGAGATGGAAGTAGATGTGATATCTAAGCATAGCCAGAGGGTTGGAGAAGAGGAGAAGGGGGTGCTGAAAGTAAAGCCCCCCCCACCCCCCCAAGTGAAGTTGGGGGCACCACTGCCAAGCAGTACTCTCTTTTCTGCTGGGATTCCTAGAAAGCCCTATGAAGGTATGTGACAGCAACAACTGGCTTGGAAATTAACCAGTTTGGGCTTTGAGATCAACCTGTAGGATACTGATCTATTCCTTAGGAGTCCCTGATATACTGCCCCATTTTCCTTTCATCTTAAACTGCTTTTTAGATCTTGTTAATTTTTCTCATATTTATGTTTTGTCTTAGAACCAGACTGCAAATAACTTAGAGAATCATATAGCTAGATTTAAGGCTGGAAGGGTCCCCCAGAGGCCATCTAACCCATTGCCTATAGCTTAGATAAGGATTCTGAAGCCCAGAGAGTTTGTGTCTTGCCCGAGGTCATCAAGGTCACAATTGTCAGAGGTGAGATTTCAGCCCAGGACCCTGACTCTAGAGCCAGCATGCTTTACATTGCACAAAACAGGGAGCATGCCTTACTTTTTTTTATGTCTCCCACAGTGCAAATCACAATGCCTTGCAAAGAGTAGGTGCTTAATTATTTGCCCATTTTCATTTAACACATCCTTCTCTCCAAGTTACTAATAAAACATACAGCCATTTAGTTTCTAACCGGGTAAAAAAAAGACCAGATCCTCCCTTGGCTCCACTACCACTGTTTTAAAGCATTGTAGAAAACAGCCTCTCAGGCCTGAGAGCTACACTGGTAAAAGGCATTTTCAAGAGGGGTTATAAATAATCATGATCAAAGTAAATGACAGAACCTTAAAGCAAAGGTTTCCTGCATGTAAATGGGTTACAAAATGGTTTTCATAAATTGAGCACTGGATTCATAAAAAAGGAAATTGGTCTACCTGTATTACTACAATTCTCTTGGAGTTGACTAGGGAAGAAATGGAGAAATACATGCACTGTCTATGAAAATGATTTCTTTTTTGATTAACCCTTCAGTCTTTTGCTTTTTAGTATTTTTGGTTCCATTTTTTTTCTTTTCTAAGAAGTGTAATGGCAGGAGTCCCTGTTCTCACAAGACCTTATAATGTGCATGTAGTGCTTAATAAAGAACTGTGTAAGTATTCAATAAAAATTGCTTATTAATTTATTATTCAACTGAAAATAAATACCACTGTGGACTATCATATCCAAACCTAATTGTAACAAAGACTTATGGGAATTGTAAGGTAGAACTAAGATAATTTAAATATATTATAGATGTAGACTCTCCCCCCACCCCACTCCTCTTTTTTGTTTGGTTTTTATGGTAGTTGTGATTGTAAAGTAGCTCAGAGTATATCTGGTTTGGGAAGATTAATTCATTTTCTTATTTTAATGACACTGAACCTTCACCAAAATCTTTGGTGTCTTATTTGTAGTGTGGTGTTCGTTCTAGTTTTGATGGCTATATCAGCCAAAGCGTAGGCTTGGAAAGGTCCTACCAAGCTGGAACTACTCCCCTATGGGCCTGACCATGGACGGTCTATCTTTCATCTTTGGATCAGTCTGGCTAGGTACTAAAAGCCTGTCATCACAGGAAAGTGAGACCCTAAATGATAGAGTTTTTTTGACCACAGCAATTCATTAATTGTATCCTCAAAATTGTGCCAGTATAGCTGCGGGGACAATATTCTTTGATCCTTGAAGTATTTGAGTCTAATGATAAACAAGCAGAAGGGTGAGGGAAGGATAGTTAGAAAGAAGGGAGGAAAGTGACAACAGCAAATATGAGTAGATTCAGCGTAGATTGAGATGATGAAGTCAAAATAGTATTTGTTTCAATCTGATGATGTTTGAAAGTAAGACTCTGCTACCACTCTCCCTAAAGCAGAATGCCCAACCCTTATCCTGACAACTAGTGCAGATAACCAGTCAATGTTCCTCTCCTTCATACCACGCAATCTAGACCCAACATTGCCAGCTGTTTCTTTGATCTTGTATGACAACTTCATAAATTCTTAGCTAAGTGGTGTGGTCTATAGAACACTGAACTTGAAGTCTGGAAGATCTCAGTTCAAATCCTGCTTCAGTCATTTGTTAGATGTATGACCATAGGAAAGTCATTTAACCCCTGTTTGCCTCAATTTTCACATCTGTGAAGTCAGGATAATAATAGTACCTACATCCCAGGGTTATTGTGCAAATTAAATGAGATAGTATTTGTAAGTCATTTTGCAAATCTTAAAGCTCTATGTAAATGCTAACTATTGTGAATTCTATAGTGAAGTTTATTAGTGAATCCTTAAAGATAGGTATCTCTTAATATACTTTAACTGTAAAATTTTCAGACCATGTTTTTATTTTAAGTTATGTCATTACTAATTTTATTATTTAATATAATACTATATTTATTATTACCAAAATTTTATTACTACATAAATTAAGATAATAAAACAGTACACAAGTATAGAATGTTGAGTAAGTACATTAATAACCACTTTTGCATGGTCAAACCTCATATAGAAAACGAGCCCTTTTCCCTCAATAATTATATTTAATTTTTGGAGCCTGGAATCAGAGTTTAGGAAAATATCTCTAGGAAATGGCTTAATTATTCTAATAATGTGGCTTTTGAGAGATTGGTTCATTAAGAAAAATGTTAGTGTACTTCCCATGTTTTCTAGTTAAAAAAAACTAAAATACTTCTAACAAAATTCACTGATGGACAATCACTTTAGAGGTTTGGAAAGAGGGGTTTTCTTGTTACTTAGATGAGAACAAATATTTTGGAATATCAAGATACTAAATAATCCATTAGAGAGATATTCAGATTATTCATTCTTCCTTTCAAGTTAGCTTGACCTGATTTTCAAGGAGATATGTGACCCAAACACAAAAATTTAGCATATACACACCCCTCATCCCTGCAGGGTCTAGTCTAGAATTCCAAGGTCATTGTCATCTAGTCAAGGAGGCCCTGTGTCACAAAGCAGATAGAAGCAGGACCTCATCACATCAGCAATATGTCTATATCTAAACTTCATGCGAATCTGGTTGTAGATAGTAAAGTTCATTGACCACTATGACAGAAGATATTCCCTCTGTGGGACAGGAGGAAGGTATATCTTTTCCCATTTTTGTGTTAGGAAAATTTATCTCCTGTCTCTAGCAAATGACAGACATAGTTTGCCAAGCCTTTTGTTTCAGTAAATGATTGCTAGAGTATCTGAAATTCTCAAAAAAAATTTCAGGAAAACTAGTTGCATCAGAGGCTGGGAAGCATATGGATTTAATAGGAAAGCATTTTGGTTTCTTGACTAATATTAACTTGACTACAGCTTATTCAGCTTACTGTGGTATAAAACTGCAGAACAAAGTATTACTCTCCGAAGGATTCAGCCCTAGGCCTTGCTGAACCTTAATAAGCTTCTTATGGATTCCAATTCTTTCACAGTAGTGATCCAGGGAACCTTTTCCTTCACTCCAGGGCCTTCATCTTTAGCTAATTTCTAAACTTTAATGATGTCTGAATTTGACTTCCAAGTACCATGACTCCCAACTCTTCCTGCCTCCTGAGCCTATATATCCCAAACTTCTGATTTTTTAAATTCTTACTGCTGTTACTAATTAATTCTTGAAATTTATTCTGTTCATGTAATGTTCTTAATCATTCAAGAACTTAATCTTTTCTGGTCTTCCATAATACTCTCCTCAATTATTACTAGCTGAATTATGAGGCACCCTGAGGGAGAAACAGGAGGTAACATGTGCCTTTGTCAAACCACCAACAGGCCCTGATAGAGACATCCCAGGATGCTGAGCCCAAGAGTCTTGAGAATAGCAGTGCATCCAGACTACCAGCACTCCCAGCATTTCCCTTTTCCAGGGAGAAAAATTCAGGCATGAGGAATAGCCAGGGAAAATCACAGGGTTGGGAATTGGTGTGCTAGTGCAAGGAACAGCAAGGAAAGCCAGGGTCACTGAATCACAGGATATGTAGTAGGCACAGGGAGGTGTAAAAAGTTTAGAAGGATAGAAATGGTGCTAAATGGTTGGGGGTTCAAAGAAGAGCAAAAGACCATCCCTATCCTTGAGGAGCTCATGATCTAACAAAGGAAACAACATACAAACAAGCTATATACAGAATAAATTGGAAATAATCAACAGAGGAAAGGTACTGGCATTAAGGGGGTTGGGAAAGGTCTTCCTGTAGAAGGTGGGATTTCAGTTGGGACTTGAAAGAAGTCAGGGAAGCCAGGAGACAAAGTTGAGAAGAGAGAGCATTCCAAGGTTGTGG